TTTTCAGTGAATATGAGAAGTTACTTCATTCAGAAAACTACGTGACAAAAAGACAGTCACTCAAGCTTCTCGGTGAACTACTGTTAGATAGACACAACTTCACAATTATGACAAAATATATCAGTAAACCTGAGAACCTGAAATTAATGATGAATCTTCTACGAGACAAAAGTCGTAACATCCAGTTTGAGGCCTTTCATGTTTTTAAGGTGTTTGTAGCCAATCCTAACAAGACACAGCCCATCCTTGACATCCTCCTCAAGAACCAGACCAAACTCATAGAGTTCCTCAGCAAGTTTCAGAATGACAGGACCGAGGACGAGCAATTTAATGATGAGAAGACCTACTTAGTTAAACAGATCAGGGATTTGAAGAGACCAGCTCAGCAAGAAGCCTAATTTCCAGTAAATATCTAAAATATTAAATCCAAATTCAGCATTTGCTGTTAGCTATTCAGCATCAGGCACTCTTATCGATTCATGAGGAACATTACTGCTAATCTGCTGTTAAGTGAACGGTTTTTCATTTTCCCTTTTTGTTTTTTAGTCCAGGTTGGAGAACGTAGCTGCTGACACTTGCACACTAGAGCACACATGGGCTTTTTCTTGATCTTTGTGTCACTTCAGAATTCAAAGACTCCATTTGCTATAGGAGTTCTGACGTGACAGGGTTCATGAAGGCAAATGTATAGATGAGAGTGTGGTGTGGGGAAGAGGGCACTGATATTACCAGATTAAACCTGCATGTTCGCCTTCACCTCTATTGAAGTCCACGCACGGTGTGGCACGCGCACCAGGCATCCTCACAGCCACTGGACGCCTTGGCTCAAGGATGGTTGCGCCAAGCTATATTTGAAATCGGAGGGGAACTGTACCAAGATGTGAGCTTTGGGGGCAGATAAAGTTGACGTGCGAATACATTGATACTGAAACTTAACTTCTCAAAAGTGTGAAGCTTCGTAAGGTTATAAGAAAAATGTGTATATGCTTTTCACAGCTTTCTAGAATTTTTTGACATTTGATTTTCTTGAGACTTGTAAACCTGGATATGTTGAAGGGTATTTGTTAATTTTACTTTTTGAAGGTATTTTAAAACAGTAGAGCTAGCAACAATGCCTTGCATTTCATTTCAGCACTGCTTACAGGTTTCTTTTGTATATACTTTTTAGAATGCTCATTTCTTTTAAATGGTTTAATTTGTACAGCAGAGGAATGTTATTGTAGTAGTATGTAACTATTACCTAATACTGAGTTTTTGCAAAAAAAAAAAAAATGAATGCTCATATGTAATTGAAATACTTCAGAACACATGAAAATGCTGATTTAACATTTAAGTATCACAGCATTAAAAGAAAAAAAGTAAACCAAAT